TTTATTTGCCTTCCATGTGAGAATGGCTCTATTTGGCACGAGAGTTGTCAGTATGATTATAAGGTGTGATGAGGGAACATGATGCCAAATGTTAGGGTTCAGATATTGAGACTTGTATTGTGTGATTATGAGATGAGGTGTCATGGCGTGACTTATATTCGAAGGATATTTATTTGAAAAGATTATATTCGAAAGGTATTTATTTTGGAAGAACTATTTTTAAAAAATTGTTCATGCCCAACTATGCCTTATAAAAAGGACTAAGCGGTCATTGCAAATATAATCCGGGTTACAAGTCCGGAGTCGAATCCCACAAAGAACTAAGGCTTAGCTGCAGTTGTTCAATATCACTCAGAAACACAAGTCCGAACAATTTCCTAATTATAAAGATTATAATATTTATTTTTATCTAATTAATTAACAAATACTAAAAAGCAGTAAAACTATCAATTAACATGATAAGAATTGGAGACAAGATTAAGGAGGTTTAGAGTTATGATTTTTCCTATTGTCAGAATCCTTTACACTACGTCTTCTATAAATTTGCCTAAGTTTTCTCTACCGATCATAAGCGCTCTGAGTGTTGTAATTCTCTCGCGAGTAACTACCACAATTTACTAGATATATTCTCCCGAATTATGCTAGCTGACATTAAGTACGGCTCATTCGGATCGCACCAAGGTTTCTTTGTCCTTAATTCCACCTTTAAACCCTCCGTATTGATCCCTCATATACGTTAGGAGTGATGTTGTTCAACAACTACCTAAATATGCACTCTTTCCCGAGTAATACATACTAAATAGGCATAGTCAATTGAGAGCTCTTCAACCAACCACAATATAAACGTAGTTGATCAATTTGAGAAAAAGCTACAGTAAATCTATATTAACGTAACAAGAAAATCATCCTCCAATAGGTTCCATCAAAACCCTAGATAATAAATTAGCTATTTATAATAGTATGCATAACTACAATACTAGAATTCATTGCCAATAATGAAAATAGGAAGAAGGAAGTGAAAAACTCGTAGAAGAATTCTCCGCCGTGCTCCTAGTGTGTTCTTGCCTCCTTAGGTCGCATCTCTGATCTCCATGACGGTGCCGTAGGTTTTCCTAGGTCTAAAGTATGTCAAAACTGACTTTTTTAGGTCTATTTATATGTGTAGGAAAAGACCTAAACGTGTAGGTCAAATCCTAGTCAAGCCGGAAAACAAATTAAATCTTCAAAACTTGGACTGGACCTGGCCCCTGGCCTGGCGTCGCCAGCCTAACGCCAGCCTCGACCTGGCCTTTGGCTAGCCTCGCCAGGCTAAAGCCTGGTTCTGCCTGGCCTTTCACTGGCTTCGCCAGGCTAAAGCCTGGTTGAGCTGGATTTTGCCTGGCCTCTCCTTTTCACTGTTCTCGAGCGCACTTTCAACGTTTAAGTATCTCTTTTGCTCTACTTTCATCTTCAATTTACCTAAACATAAAATAGACTCCATTACGCGCAAATAAAATAAAATTTATTATTAAAACATATAAAATGCAAGGCACATAATGTGCTAAACCATGAATTATAGTCACATATCAAAAATAATTATTTGAAAGAGGTATATTTCGAAATATTTTTATTACTTGAAGAATTTGACTAATTGATTGAAGTTGTTGGCTAAGACCTGATGTGAAAACTGTCGTAGTTGCTGAGTTATTACTTGTCTTTACTGTATTTGTGATTTCGGATTTGGGTTGTATTTCAGTTCGCTTTTCTGTGTCCTTATTATGGTGTCCCGCTGTTAGTTGATGTTTCCTTCCTTATTGCAATTACTGTGTTGTTAGCCATATTGCGTAATCTTTATATAGATACCATGTGTTGTTGTTTATATACTTAAATTTGTTCAGTTATTAGACCAGTAGGTGTCTTGACTATTCCTCGTCACTACTCTACCGAGGTTAGTCTTTATACTTACTAGGCACCGTTGTGCTGTGCTCATACTATACTTATGTACATTTTTTGTACAAATCCAGGTATTGGATCGCTAGTAGCTGTGCGGACCGTTGTTGTGAAGACTCAAGGTAAGCCTGCTACTGCGTTCGCAGGCTTCGAAGTCACCTTCTTATTTTGTATTTATATTGTTCATTCTTATTTCGAGACGGTTGTATTCTAGAGGTTTTCTAGCAACTCTGTAGAGCTTATAACTTGTACCACCGGTTTTGAAAATTTGTTAGTTTTTGTAAAGATTTCTATATCAAGATTGTTAGATTTTCTTTATTTTTGTTGCTATTCAGTAAATGTTAGGCTTACCTAGTCCCTAAGACTAGGTGCCATCATGAAAACCAACGAAGGGGAAATTGGGCTGTGACAAATATTATTATATAAGGATACTGTTATAGAGAAGTCTGATTATATAATGGTACGGTAGAGTCTCAATTTAATGGATTATAAAATAGAAATATTTAAATAATCGCGAGATAAAATTATACGATCGCAAGTTTATTCAGGTTACCGCGTTGTCGCCTGTCGTGCACATGCAACCTGATTTAAAGTCTGTTCGTGTACCAAATATCTAGCTACATGAGATGATGTGATAAATTTACTTCTTTGCGTTTTTCAACGCAAAACAGTTTCAGCCTAAAATGGTTTCAAGGACATGCTCATAAATTTTATTTAAAGTCATATATTAATATTATAAAGAGAAAATGGTTCCACCTCTCAAACAGGGTATATTCCGTCCGTTTTAAGTAATTTCTTAGTTTATTTTTATTTGTCTATTATTAATTTAATATATTAAAAAATAATAAATAAAGTACATAATTTACTTGATATACATATTAATTGGTGTATAGTCTTAACGAATTTGAAAAATAATTTGGAATGAATAATTAATGCTAAGGGCAAATAAGAAAAATAAATTATTTTTTTCTCTTGATATGCGAAAAGTGACAAGTAAAAATAAAAATTTATTTTTAGAATACTTGACAACTAAAAGTGAATGGAGGGTGTAATTTATTTGTGATTCACAATATGTGATTTCTGCAAATATTTCCAAAATTACCCTTGGAACAAACAGTCTATGAGTAGTTTGTTATATTTTCAACGGAAAAGGTCCAAATATGCCCTTGTACTATACGAAATTGAATACATTTGCCGTTCCTTAATACTTTAGCACATATATGCCCTTATCGACTTATCGTCATATAATTGGTACATATATGCCCTTACTCTTACATAGTTGGTCCATATATGTCCTTTTTGAAACGAAATCCACCCAAACTAATTAGCTCTTTCTTTAATTGTATTAAAGTATATTACAAACACTATCTCCTTTATATTAGTACTTTTTTTTCTTTACCTTTCTCTTTCTTTCTTCTCTTTTTTTCTCCCTTTATATATGGACCAACTATGTGACGGTAAGAACATATATGGGCTAAAATATTAACGAAGGGCAAATGTGCTCAATTTCGTATAGTACAAGGACATATTTGGACCTTTTCCATATTTTCAATGAGCAAATTAAGGTTAATATGGTCAATTTCATTATTAATTAACGCCAAAAGATAAATTTCTTTATGTGAAAAGAGTCAAAAAATCACTTAGAATGGACCGAAGGAGTATTATATCGTAACAGCTTGTCCCTCTGCGCGCACACAGAGGATTAGACATTTGGACAATTTAAACGAGCCTAATATCGAATAAATGTAGAATAAAGATAATCCAGCTTTGATATGGTGTTAAGAAAATTAACCTTGAGTTCTACTCAACTACAAAAGCAATCTCATTGATATAAAACAACAGTTCATTTCCTCAACAGTTAAAATATGAAACATTCAAATCCTTTGTGAATCAACTTTCATAATTAACAGCTCCCTTTTCTTTTCCAAAGCCCAGTCTTAGCACATATACAGTTAATGGCCCTTTTATATAATTAGATCTTTGACAATTTTCTTTGGCAATAATAACAACTAAAACAAGAAGAAGCTATTAGGTCACGGAACCACTTAATTGTTATTCTTTGTGGATAAGATTCTAAGATTTGTTATTATGGGCCAGATGACTACTTCCCATTTAAGAATCACCTTAAGTGGGTACCTGAATGGACTTTCTTGCACATTCGTTTACCAGTGTATACATTGTTATCAATATATACTTGATCGAAAGCAAGATAAATCAATATAAATCATCAGTAGTGCTTTCCAACTAGAAAAATGTGTGCAATAATTGATAACGATGTCTCTCTTTTTTTTCGGGGAAAAAACACCTTAGCTTTCGTGCCTTATCAACTTTGATCATGCGCAACTATTATAACTATTTAATATTCTTTTGTGACATAGATTTGTCTTTTCAACTTTGAATTTCCTTTGATGAACAGTTCTGAATACCTACTTCTGTAATTCGGCACCTCTACATATGGACTGTTTATTTAATTTAGAGTAGTTGATGTCAAATGTTTTATATTTAAAAATTACTATAATAAATACTCCTTCTGTTTGACTGAGCACGAAGTTTAAAAAAAATGAAAACTTTTGAAATTTGTGGTCCTAAACAAGTCAAAAAGGAGCCCAGAATATTTGTGTAGTTATAAAAGCTCCTCATTAAGAGTAAAATTATAAGTTTAAGCTAAATTATTACCAAATTTAAAAAAGAATCATTTTTTATAGAACGGACAAAAAAGAAATATGTTAACATAAACTGGAACAAAGGGAATATTTTTTTGTGGAAAATGTTCTATATGGAGAATCCATTATTATCATTTTTGGAAAAAAGAAAAAACAAAAAAGAGATTAGTTGGGTTTGAAGTAAGCTAACTTACACCATATGTGCATGATCGGGTGTTTTAATTAGAGTTTTGAGTAGTAAAGGTCGAACATAAAAGGGAAATTTGCACAAATATACAGCTCAAATATAACACACATTGCATATGTGTAGCCATCTATCTATTTTATATTTTAGAAACTAGAATGAGAAGAAAAAACCATTCATTCTAAAAATTTGTTCTACAATTATTGATTACAAAAGAAACCAAGAGAAACCGGGCCAGGCAAATTCATTGCATTTTGACGCTTCCACTATCCAATAACTATATATACACAACATATTAATTGTGTGAAAAAAAAATCTTATAAAAAATGTTTGGAAAGAAAAAGTAAAAAATAAAAGGACTCATAAGGCCAAACTCGTCCAAGTGAGTTGTCAGATCTAAACAAAGAAAAGGGGATGAAAATACAAAATTATCTAACTTGAAGTACTTGATCTTAAATAAGCAAAAGATCTTTCTCCTGTATCATCCTTATCCGTCCCGCAAAACAAACGTAACGGCGACTTAACTGACTTAACGGACTTCAGCAAATTCTTCGGTTTTTTCTCACCATTCTCCTCCTTTGGCGGACCGGGTTTATTAAACACAGGCGATGTCGGTGGAAACCGGAACTTGCTTAACCGGCCATCCAACGGTTCGAACCGGTACCCCGTGGTTGAACTTCTCTCTGGAGAAAACGGCATATCAGAACTTAAGTCTACCAATCTTTTGCGTACATCATCAGGTAACCTTAGAGTAAACCTCTCGAAATTGTCACCAGGTTGAATCAACGAGTGACCTGTGGAGTGAGATCGACTGAACATCCCAAAAATCTTTGGCCTTCTCGGTGTTGATTTTGGTGCAAGGTGCCGAAAATCGGGTGCCTTGCTTCTCGCCTTACTGCTACTATTTGGAGTAAGGGGGCCGTAGTTGGGTGTTTTATTTCTTGGTGTAGATTTCGTTGAACAAATATCAGTAGGCGTAGTTTGAGAAGACTGCTGGTTCATCACTTCTTGTGCACCAGCAGTCACGTGAATATCTATTACTATGTCGCTTCTTTCTGTTTCTTGAATTGTTTCTTGCTGTTTACCAGCAGGTTTTGTTTCGAGATTTGCACGGCAAACTGGGCAAGTGGTACGAAAGGCAAGCCAAGCATCAATACACTCAGAATGGAACACGTGGCAACAATTCGGAAGAAGGCGGAGAGTTTCTTCATCTTCGAACTTGTTTATGCAAACAGCACATTCTAGGATAGATTTGCCCAACTTTAGGGCTTTTACATCTGAATAGATAAATACTGGGAATGTTTCGATGATATTAGGGTCAAGTCCACGGGAAACAGGTCGGTGACGGAAGAAGTAAGAACCCATTGGTTCGTCGGGGTTCATGTGACGTATGTATAATGTGATGACAACTGCAATCACGAATAATACGACACAAGCGAGTACTATCGCTAACGCTGGGCTGATTTTAACATTTGAATCCAACGTTGATGGAGCTGAAGATGGTGTTGTCGCTGAGACTCTGCCAGTTTTGGCCATAGCGTAAAGCAAACACAAGAAGAAACCACAAATGATATTTCTCTTATGCTTCATTTTTCCTAAAAAAGTGAATACTACTATTAATCTGGACGCCGGCAGTGTTAACTTGTAGAGCGAAAAGGAGAGGAGCAAGGTGGATAGTTGTAAAGGCAAAAGGTAGATATAATGGATTTCTTTTCGATATACTATTTATACGGTTGAATGGTTAGGATTGAAAATAATCCTGTGTTACGCGGAATCTAACAAAATAAATTTTAAATAATGATAAACCAAATAACAAAACATTGAATAATGATAAACCAAATCACAAAAGAAAAATATAGCAAAAGAGACACAAACATTTAATATAGTTCCGTCAATTATCTACATTCACAGACAAAGATGAGCAATCCACGATATAAAAAGAGAGTACAAAATATCGAGAGAACATCACAAAGAGACAAACACAAATGACAGAATAACTCTTGTCCCGAAATTCTTTCCCTAAACAAGACTCTCAAATCCCGTATGACTACATTATAGATACTATTAACTGAGATGGAAAGATTCTTAATTTATAAAAGTCCAAACTTTTCCCAAGAAAAAGAACTAGCCAAATATGAGAGATTATTTATAATTTTTTCTAAAAAATGAAAAACCCAATTATGACAAATATAGTGCCCTTTCCTTCAAAAAATAAAAAAATTAAATATGATAAGAAAATTAGGACAAATACTTAACAGAAATAGCCTACCGCAAATTAAAAGAGAAGAACAGTTGACTTTTATTAAGTCGCCACTACGAGATTAATCAATAAGGTTTTGACTTTGGAGAACTTAAAAAAATAAATTTTTAAAGGAGTTATATGTCTTCGTCACTTAAAATTGTATTTAGATGGCAGAAGACATGAACCGTAGTATTCGTTAGTTAAAGCTTAGTGTTGAAAGGTACTCTTAATAATGTCAATGGAGAGGAGCAATATCCAAAGACACAAAATAGCCGGCCATCTCTTACAAATTTCTTAAAAAATGTTAGTATCTCTGTTTCAATTCAGGTGAGTTAGTCTGATATATAATATTTTGAAAATAAAATTAAAATTTGTAGTTTTAGAAATGCCATGAATAAAATTGAAGATCCAAGTCAAAACCCAAGACAAGCGGCTTGGATATACTCTTTTTTCTTTTATTTTTATGTTTATTTTCTATTTTGATGTAATGACAAGACCGTGAGCCTCAACAATAGCTTACTTGACTCTCTAACTCATCATTATATCCTTCTATCCATTCACTACTAGAAAATGGTTCTATTGGAACGGTTATTCTGCAACGACTACACAACTGTTATAATAGATTATGTTTTGGAACGGTTTTAATCGTCTCAATAGAGTCAAAAGGATTTTGTGATTCTTCTAAAGCATAATCATTCCAATAGGATAGTAACCGTCACCACTATGAAGACAATTTATAAAGGTGATACAAGAGGGGTTGTTTATGGGAACTGTTTGGTAAAACAAAAGTATATATTGGACGGTTTATCTTTTCCTCCTTATTTTCCCTCCTACATATTTATTAAAAACAAGGAAAAAAATAAAACAGATGACCCCACCAACCTTTTAATAACGCATTTTAATTTATTCTTCAGTTAAAAAACATATAAAATTGCTTTTCGTCTCTCTCTCAAGTCTCTAACCTAGAAAAAATCGCCGTCGGCAAAATTGTACGGCTTGCTCCGGTGTCACGATCTAAAATTTCATCCACGTGCCGTAATGACGTCTAACATCGTTTGCTAGGTATGCCTACACACAACTGATGAAAATACAGAAGAAACTGTAATTTACGACTAACAGTATGATAATAAGAAAAGTAAAAGTATTTCATAAGCAAATAGGATAGGTCTAAGGCCAACAACTACGCAATCCATCCCAAGATGGTGCCATAAGTACATGAGCTTCTAAAATGTTGTATATACACTATTCTAAAATAAAATACAACACTATACGAAAAATGGAGACAATACGATAGAAATAATAAAGTGGCGTTAAGGCCTGCGAACGAGATGTAGCTCTGCCTTGAATCACCGTCTGGTATCCGCTAAGTACCTCTCAGGACTCCACTGGTACCAATGTCAAGATTTGCATGAGAAGTGCAGAGGTGTAGATGAGTACAACTGACCTCATTTACTTAGTAAGTATCTTGACTAATCCCGGTGAAGTAGTAATGAGGTTTTAAATTCAAAGATACTCACTAATAAAATATATTCAGTTAAGTAGGAAAGAAAAACCACACAAGCTAGAACCCGACAAGGCTCTGAAACATCTAACTTAACGAACTGAATGGACAAGGTTTTAACATCTGATGCAAGCGGTCTTTCACCAATAGGAATGAATGCAAGGCTACCCATACTTACCGTTTTTCTACTCAAGGCATCAACCACCACATTGGCCTTCCCGAATAATAGAAAATGGTAATATGCTAGTCTTTTAGCAGCCCAATCATCTCCGCTGCCTCAAATTTAGATCTTTTTGCTTGAACAAGTGCTGAAGACTCTGATGATCCATAAATACCTCACAAGACACACCGTAGAGATAATGCCTCCAAATCTTCAATGCATGAACGATGACTGCCAACTCCAAATCATGAACAAGGTAGTTCTTCTCATGAGGCTTCAACTGGCGTGAAGAATAACCAATCACTTTATCCTCCTGCATCAAGACACACCCAATACCAATCTGAGAAGCATCACAAATCACTATATAAGAGCCCGATGCTGAAGGCACAACTAGAACTGGAGGTCTGGTCAAAGCAGTCCTGAGCTTCTAAAATCTCTACTCACACTCATCCGACCACCTGAATGGAGCACCCTTCTGGGTCAACATGGTCAAAGGTGCTGCAATGGACAAGAAACCCTCCGCGAAGCAACGATAATATCCGGCCAAGCTAAGAAAAGTCCGAATCTCAGTAACTGAAGATGGTCTGGGCCAACACTGAACTGCTTCAATCTTCTTTGGATCCACCTTAATCCCCTCACTCGACACCACATCCCCCATGAATGCCATCGAACTAAGACAAAACTGACAGTTGGAGAACTTGGCATAAAGCTTCTCCTTCCTTAATCTCTATAGTACAATGCTCAGATGTTGTGCATGTTCCTCCTAGCTCCGTGAGTACACTAGGATATCATCAACAAATACTATGACAAACGAATCAAGATATGGCTATAGTACACTATTCATAAGATGCATGAATGTTGCTGGGGCATTAGTCAACCCAAAGGGTATCACAAGGTCCTGAATGTCGTCTTCAGAATATCCGAGTCTCCAATCTTCAACTGGTGATATCCAGACCTCAAATCAATCCTAGAAAACACTCTAGCTCCCTGAAGCTGGTCAAATAAGTCATCAATGCGCGACAAAGGATACTTGTTCTTAATGGTAACTTTGTTCAACTGCGTAAAGTCAATGCACATCCGCATAGTACCATCCTTCTTCTTTACAAACAGAACTGGTGCACCGCAAGACGACACATTGGGCCTAATGAACCCCTTATCAAGAATCTCCTGAAGCTGCTCTTTCAATTCTTTCAACTCTGCTGGTACCATACAATACGGAGGAATAGAAATAAGCTGAGTGCCCATCAATACCAAAGTCAATATCCCCGTCGGGTGGCATGCCCGGTAGGTCTGCAGGAAACACATCTAAAAAGTATCACACAACTGGAACAGAATCAATGGTAAGAGTATCAACGCCAACCCTCACAAAAGCCAAATATGACAAACTCCCCTTCCCAACCATCCATTTGGCTTTCAGATATGAAATCACCCTACTAGGAACATAGTCCATAGAACATTTCCACTCGATCCTAGGTAACCTTGGCATCACTAACGTCATGGTCTTAGCGTGACAATCCAATATAGCATGATACGGGGACAACCAATCCATACCCATAATCACATCAAAATCAATAATACTAAGCAATAAGAGATCGACTCTCATCTACTATCACCCAATGGTCACCACATACGACTGATACACACGGTCCACAACAATAGAATTGCCACTGGCATAGATATATGAATAGGTAAAACTAAGGACTCGAGGGGCATATTGATCGTAGCCAACCCTACACCACTACAAAGTGGCAAGAGCGATCGAAGTAGCTTTTACCCAAGATGGTCGGGATCGAATCCATAAGGATCTAGAAGTGGGAATGGGATTCCTATCTAAACTAGAGATGCGTAATGCTCTTAATTACTCTTCCAATCATCTTTCGGTTGGTTATTACTTCTAATATTTATGCTACTGATAAGCTAAGTTAAACTAAAAATGATTGCTTGTAGGGTTTTCTAATTAGTTAAAGAGGCATTAAGGAAGTGATTTTCTCCTAGGTGAATAATTGACGGGATCTAAAGCCTAAGGCAAAGAAGTTATATTGGGGATTGTGATATAGCCAATGCACGGAATTACTCACTCTATACCTCTCGGTAGCTTGAGTGACTTTGCCCTAATTTACTTTCTCAAGACCAATTGGGTGTCCAAATTGTGCACGCAATATAGGCTCAAGTCGGGTATGACTATCTCTAGGTTTAACCCTTTAATTGGGGCTATCAATCTCTTGATTACACCCCAATTCCTTGTTGGACTGATTTTCCTAGACTCAAGTTCTCTTTTCCAAGAAGAACCTAAGTCAAATAGTCATAAATTAGTATTTGCAACCACTAATTCAACATGAAAAACACAAATCAGTCCAAATATCAACTACCCATAAATATATAAGCATTAAATTAAAAGTCCCATCAAATACCCACACTAGTATTATCAACAAAGACCATTGCCTTATTCTTAGCTGAATATTAGTATTATTCTTCCAAACACACCTAATCCCAACCAGATAGCGCAAATTGCACATCCAAGAACCTCATCTCACTCAGTAGAAACTGCCCAATCTATAAAACACTCTACGTGCCGCTCATAACCTCACGCAATGTGGTCCGTACACCAAATAAGAAATAAACTAGATATGATAAACAATAGTAGGAAGGGTCAAATAAGAAAGCTACCAAACAAGTTTAATAGGCAGGGCAACAAAGAACATCTCCCTATGAATTATTTCCACAAAGTAAAAGCAAAACACACGAAATAAGCAAAAGGAATCACATTTCATCATAGTACTTTTGCGGC